CATGGCCAACACGGGCCGTGTCACCTGACACAGACACTCATGTCAGCCTTTGTCCATCATTCCAACAAGAACTCTCGCCCAAACCTTCTGACACGGGCCGTGTCAGCTGACATGGGCACCCGTGTCAGCCTCTACTCCCAAATTGTAGCTATGCGTCCTCTCTTGACACGGCCCGTGTCAGGTGACACGGGTGGACGTGTCAGACACCCTATAGCTTGGTTTTTGAAACTTCCTCCAAAACTCTGAATTTGAACTTTTCGCACTAATTTTCTCGATTTTATTCGTTTGAGCCTGAAAAACACTAAAACACAAAACCAAAGTATAACATGCGATAAAACAAAATAAAAACTCGATAAGTAAAAGAAACGATAACTAAAATAACTGCTAAATATCTATGTAAAAACCACTGATCAATGACGTATTCCACGTGTCTCAGCTTCAGAAGTTCGTATCAGATTCATTTCATCCTATCCTTCCAGATACGATCGAAATGGAACCAAACCTTTCCTTCCATCCGCAATCCAGTTGTATTATGGAGTATGCTAGTAGATCATTGAGAAACAAGGAGATACCTCTTGTGAAGGTGTTCTGAGAAGAGTCACGTCCTGAGGAAGCTACTTGGGAGCTTGAATTAGAGATGCGAGAGCTTTACCCTCATTTATTCTGATACGTTTTCGAATTCGAGGATGAATTCAAATTTAAGGGGGGAGGGGGGGAGAATGTAATACCCGATATAATTATTCTCTAATGGTTATTACTAATCATTTTATTGATGATTATTAGAGAGTGATTATATTAATCACATTAATTAGTGGTATTGAGAGAAATTAAAGAATAAATAAGTGATAAGGGTATTGTGCTCTTTGCACCATTTTAAGTGGACAAGTTAGGGACTTGTTTGGCTCATGTATGAATTCACCATTTGAAACAAAAAAATAAATTTTGTGGGTAGAGAAATAGATACACGTGAAAGAGAGGAGAAATAGGAGAAAAGCTCCATTCCAACTGCAATAATTCATCAACTCTTTTGCATGCACCAAGATTAGTTTGAATCCATTGAATCATCATCATCATCTTTGTTTTGCAGTAGCTCCTTCATCACTAAGGTGAGTATTTAATTAGAGACTCTGGGTTTTGGGGATTTATGTCGGGGATAAGGGTTTTGAGTGAAAATGTTCATCAATAATCCTTGATAATGCATGAATATGACCCCATTCAAATGATAACTCGTACATGCATTATTACCATGACCTATATTTTGATCATTCTTGATTGCATGTGAAGAAATGGAGGTTTGAAACACCAAATATGTATTATGCACTTTTCAGTTTTTTCTGAATGCAATAACGTTTGCTTAGCAAGCAAAGGTTTTCTTAGCGACGTTCTGCAATTGAACAACGAGCTTTGTAAAGCAAACTTCGCTTAGAAAACTGTGTTTTCTTAGCGACAGTCTGGGACTGAAAAAGAATTATTCATTGAGGCTTCGCTTAGCGAGTCGGGACCTTGCTGGGAGTTGGCTTAGCGAACCTCATTTTTCAGAACATGGCGAAGTCTCTGACTTCGTTAGCTGGGGCTTCTCTTAGCGAATTGAGCCCTAGCTATCAGTTCGCTTAGCGAACATGCTTGGCAGAACTATGTGTTTTTCCTCCGAGTGTAGTTTCATTCTGTATCAGGAACCAGAAGCCTCTTTGTCTGTGTGACTAATACTATGATCTGTGTCTTACCTTATGTTATCATTGTATGTATGCTTGATTAAATGCAATGTGATGATAAATGCCATGACGTAATCATTGGATTGTTTTATTCCCGTTAATTCTGGTTAATCGTTCGAAGATGTTTACCTGTGTGGCCTGATGTGTATTGTGATGATGATCACTTGTTGGTCCCGTTTGTTCTGATCGAACATTTGGGTGTGATTTGGATGTATGCTCGAATCAAAGTAGACCTAAGCTACAAGGTGGGAAATCACACATGACTATGGACTGTATGTCCAACTCTTTCTTTTATCGTTGCGATATGGTGAGAGGGTCTGATAATGCGTTTCATCTAGCAGATAAACATCGGTGTTCTCGGTACATCATACACACCTGAACTACCATTGCGATGCACTGAGAGGGTCTGAAAAAGCGATCCTCTAGTAGATAAATATCGACGTGCTTGGTGTGGTGGGGTTATGATGCCATGTAGGCAATATCACTCTGGATAACCACCTCTAGTGGTGCCACGTAGGCAATACCACCGGGCTTTCACCCAGTGGGCTTGTGTAGTCATGAAGGCACTTTCGTACTGGCATAATTCATCAGTGTATAGATGATTGACGGGGTTGTGACGCCATGCAGGAAATGTCACTTCGTCCAGGACTGGATCTTGGGAAACTCGTCACAGATTGAATTCCATTTAGGACTCATCTGATTCATCATGCAATGGACTGGTACAAGTCTCTTGACGACTAGGCACAAGGGATAACCCATCGAGGGTGTGGTTGTGTGGCCTAGGTAGATAGGTAGAACTTACTTTTGGATTCCTCGTACACGAGTACGGGTTTGCATACTTGTTTTATGCTTGGCTATGTGCTTGTGGTTATCTCATTGGTGAGTCAAGGGACTATCAATGGAGATATTATATTTTGTTGTGTATTTGTACCTAGCCGTGAAGAAACCCTGGATCCACGGTGGATCACTTCTTATTGCATGCACCCTGTAGAACCGGTTGAGCTCTTAAGATAGAGAGACTCACTGAGATTTAGTAATCTCACCCCATTCCAATTATTATTTTTACAGGTTGTTCGAGGCAGGATAAAGACAAAGGTAGGATGACTTAGCTTTGCGGCGATGTTTCCTGGCTATGCGTTATCTTTTCTTTTGGATCTTTCAACTTATGTATTTTTGGATCATGTATCAGTACTCATTGGGATTTGTATCTTTTAGCCATAATACCTTTGGCTTTTGTATTTTGTACTGATATTTGCCTAGTTCCGCAGCTTATGTATGATATTCGTGTACCTTTTATAATACTATGCACATATTATCTTAGACAATGATATTTGAGGTGTTACACAACTAATGGAACATCTAAAAAAACCTGCAACATGTATGGATTGAGAGATCTCAGAGCGATCTTTTGCTCTAAAATTAGTCACCAAACAACATAGAAATGAAAAGAAAAACATGATTTCAGTAATTTTGTGACTTTATTATGATACAACTTACTATCTATCTATTAAAAGCCAATTACATGAACTTCTTAAATTACTCTTTCATCACCAATTCTTTACACTAATAAAAAGATATTTAAGTAATGTTCACTTTGGTATAATATTTCATGTTTTTGTCATTTGAAATATTGCAGCATCTCTTTGGGATAATATTTTGGGAGTTAGTTCTACCTAAAAAGCTAGAGTTTTTATCCAGGTAGTTAGGTCTCTTAGGATTAAGTATAGAGTCAGATCTAGCTTAAACTTGGTCTCACATTTTATGATGCGCCTCTATCGAAATATTGAAAAAAGTTCATTTTTTCAGGTTTGACATCTATTATAGAAGAATTGATGGATAACCCATTTTGTGTGTGAACCGTTTGTTATCTAATATTGAAACTTGGTCTCACATTTTGTGTGTGATTTCTGGTTATTCTGTTACTTTTGTGGTTTATGTTTTTTTTCCCAAGTTGTTGAGTAATTCTGCTTAGAGATGAAAATAAATTGGGTTGAATTAAGTTTTGTCAAACATGAGTTTGACCTGTCTAAAAAACAGAAGTTTAAGTATGATCTATAGTCGGTCATATATTTATTTTTAAGTTTGATTCAGATATTTTCTAAATCCTGATTAGTCTGTTAGTCTGCATAAAAGTAAATTATTTTAGATATATATAAATAAATAATTTAAATAATATTTAAATAGACTAATAAGCTAAAAAATCAATGAGATTAAAAATTTGTTTATATTAATTTATTTTAATTTATCAATTAGCAAAAGTTTTGTGAGACTATTTGTTTAATAAGACTTGTGAAAACAACTTATAATATTGTTCATAAGGTATTTTCATCTTATTCATAAGTTTTATAAGATAATCGAATTTTATTTATATATTTTGATTCAAAATAAAAAATATAATATAATGATAATAAAAAAATTATTCATATTTAGTTATATAAACCGACCTATTAAAAACTTTTTTCATGATCTGAAATCTATTTTTTTTAACTAAATAGACTTATAAAAAAACTTAGATCTAACCTGAGTCTATGTAGGTTAGATCGTAACCTAAACCTATATATACTAAGCCGTAGATCCCTATTATCGGTCTGGTCTATTTCCACCCTCTACTTCTTATACTTTCTCAACTTAGTATAATCTTCATGTTTAATTATATTATATATTTCTCCATTTAAAAGAAATCTAATTAATAGAAAATATCATAACAATAATGAATCGATACTAAATTATTGAATACAAAAACCAACTTAAAAGTCTCAAACATTTTAAAAAGATATTTATACACTTAAGACCAATTTGATAGCGTTCTATTTCTTCTCTAAGTTTAAATTTAGTAAAAACAAAATTGACTCTTTAATTTATTTATATTTCATTCTGATGATTTACATAGCAAATAATAACTGGCAAAATGTGGACTCAAACCATAGAAACCGTTTTCTATTTTTAAAAATGTTGTGATTATAAATTACACAGCTGTTAGATCCTAACATAATTCTCCTAATCTTGATTAAAAATGAACAATTAATAGTATTTACTAAATATAAGCAAAAAACTAAACCAATAACAACCGTTAAACTCCTTAAAACTTTCCACACCATATAAAATTTCCCCCTAAATAAAACCAAAGTATTCCTATATAACACCAAAATGGAGAATCAAGAAATCACTTCATCCTTACTTGCTCATATTTTCAAAGGGAGAACAATCTCAAGAACAAAACCACTTACTTGGTTTGTTCTCCCACATTGTACAAAAGTACATTAATTTATAATAAATCTATCATTCAACATGGGCAACTGTGCTGGCAGACCTAAGACCGAAGAAAACGATGCTCCAGTGCCCGTCCCTGAGTCTATCGTTGAAGAGGTCAAGGTTGAACAACGTGCTGTAGAGACCAACACAGAGATAACTCCTGAAATTACCTCTGATGACAAGTCTCTAGGCACATTGCTCAAAGAGGTATTCTAAAATTTTTCTTAATGTTGAAATTATTATATAGTCATGTAATGTAATGATTAATATTTAATTATTGTTTATGTGTTGATAGAATGAAGAAAAGAAAGTAGAGGTTGAAGCAAAGGAAGAAAAAGCCACTGAGGAGAAGGTTGAAGCCAAGGTTGAAGCTAAGGTTGAAGAGAAAGTTGAAACTGTTGTAGAAGCAAAACCAAAAGCCATTGAAGAGAAAACCGAAGTTAAGGTTGAGAACTAAGAACGTGAAACCGTTGTTAGTTTAAACCAAATTGGGCTATCAATGTGATCCTTCAAAAATACAAATTTATTATTATGTTATTCTTTTTCATTTCGTGCTTTAAGAAAATTTATTCATATGTAATGGAAATTGACTGATTATTAATTTAAATTTTATTTTTAAATTTTTGTTATTTAATGCACTTTAATTAAGGTAAATTCTATAACTATAAAATCAAGGCAAGGATTATATATAGAAAAGGAAAATGGAGAGTGGTAATAATAGCCTCTTACAGTAAAGGAAACAAAAATTTTGGTGATGATTTAAATGTTGCTGATGAATCTCAAGCCATTCTTAATCTTAGTGATGTAAAAATGTCAATGGAAAAGGGATGGTCATACGGCTGATGTGTGCTTTCCTAAGCAATGATATCCCATTCCTACTGGATTCAAATTCATAGATGGTTCTACTCTAAACAAGGGTTACATGACTTATTGTGTTGAAGTTGATGAATTAGACAACAAAATTATTGTTGATTTTTCCACTGAAGAAAATCATGCCGCTTCTTTAAACAGTGAGGGAGTACCTAGCACTAAAGTCTTTCCTCTGAGTAAATGGACCTAAGCCAAATGCAAATTCTAAGGTGATCCACACCTCACTTCCCCAACTATGAGGTTATACAAGGTGATCCACACTTCGACGGATGATTTATACCTTGTGCATTTAACATGATAATATTGATCGCGATTTTATGAGTCTATCGGGTGTAGTGACTGCAAGTGCACAGTCTATTGCATAGTTTTAAAAGATATCGAACCCACAAGGACTGGTGGTCAGAACTACTGTTATCTAAAGGTTACTATGTAAAGCTAAGGCTAATTATAAATTTGAGTGTTTGAGTTTAATCGAGAATTAACTAGAATTTAATAATTAATGACGAGATACCGATATGTATTTCGTTAACCTAAGGGATTCAGTACGTCATTGGCATTTGTTTTTAGTATTAAAACACAATTTCAGTGAAACTATTCGCTTAAAAACCCTCATCTCAAACTTTCGTTCTATTGAATTAGATCATATCAGTTAAGCTCGAAATGAGCGCTTCCGTAGTTTCATTTAAAACTCAAAAGTATTTTTTGAAAACAAATAAGTTCCAATTAACGTTAAAGTGCTTCTGCTGTTTTTAAAATTAATGTTTCAATAACCACTATCCGGGTAAAATCTCAAACTTCCGTTCTATCGATTTTAACCTTAGACTGTTTCTTACTTCTGTACAAAAACAATTAAAATATTCAATTGGAAATTAAAACCAGAAAAGTATTTTTGTAAAAAAATAATAATGCCAATTTATTACCGAATCCTTTTGGTCAAGTTTTACATACCAGTATAGAGAATCTAGCCAAACATAATATTATCACATAATATCATAAAATTAAAGTGTAAATTCAACATCTCATGCATAGTAAGAAATGAATAAATTATGCTAATTAGAATAAGAACCTGAAAAGTGAACAAGAAAGCAGTTAATTCCAATAAAGCGTGTGTCCTCCACAAGCCAAAAGGATTGACTTGATGTAAGAATGGCTCGAATACAATTATAGTAAATTCTAAACAAATTCTGGAAGCCTTGAACCAAACTAATGTTGTAGTATTTCTCCGATATGGAAAAATACTGCTTTTAACGGTAAATTTTCATTGCCTGCGGAATACTACGAAAAGTGAAAAACAATCCTGGAAAATACTACAACGGAATACAATAAAATAATTGTTGAACAAAGTAAAATGGAATTAAAAACAATAATACTGCGTAATTCTAAAGTGCCTGAGAAAAGATCAAAACGAGAGGGAGCGGAACCCATCAATTGTTGGTAACTTCTGCTTTTTATAGAGTCCATTTTTTGTTGAGGAAAAATATGTAACTTCCCACGACTTACGTTAGTGAAACATGGAGAAAGTCCAGGAATATGCGCTGAGTACGCTCTGTTGACGAAAGCTTCGTAACTGCCTGGATGATCGTGGCGAGCATGGTGTGGTACGTGACGTGGGTCACATAATTCAAGCATGTGCCAGTCGTAACATGCATGTGCCGAGGGACACAAAAACTTAGCTTGTGCCGGTCGTAACGACTTTGTGGCGGGCGGCACGCTTCTCTGCTACAGAACTGCATTTTTGCTGTTTTAAAATCATTTCTTCTTCATTTTTCCATTCTTTTTCTTCCTTTTCTTATTTATGTCTTGCAAATGCTAAGTACCTGAAATATGATTCAAAAACTACAAAAAGGGATAAAATGTGACATAATAATCGAAGAATCAGAAATTCAATCTATGTAATTTGGACGGAAAATGCTATATCTTTTCGTGTTATCAAACTCCCCTAAGCTTGAACTTTTGCTTGTACTCAAGCAATAAAATCAGTATAAAAACTAATAAGGTACAAGTTAAATGCAATTTCATGGCACAATTCGAATCATAAGAGGCTGCCTAAGTTTTTGCGGAAATGTAAGCTCAACATGACACAAAAGATACGGTAATAACACTAAACATCCCCTATTGTACAGACTAATTTCAGTCATGCCATTATAGCTCAACCTAATTCTTTTCGCTAATTTTTTCCCGTTTTCATTCTAGCGTAAGCACATTAAGCCCTTTATCTTCACACTCACATAGTAGAGTAGCCGGTTAGTGACTATGATCCTTTTAAGCATGAGGTTCTGGAACATGAATGCGGTAACCTCCTTTAATTCACCAAATTGTAAATTGTGGGGGATCGGACCGTAGTTCGCCCTACCAAGTTCAGTACCAGACACCTCTGAACCAACTGACAATAGGTTTTTGTGTTATATCACGTAGGTACTGCATCCGTTGGATTAAGCGACCGTGTGAGGATCGCCTAACTTAATTGGTGCATTCCCTATTTTCTTACAGTAAAGCATATATCTTTCAAATACGCTGGATCATTCACTTGTATTCATCGACTCGCTACATAGTTTGTGTTTAAGACGGTGTTGACTGCTAGATAAACTACTCGGGGTTATTTAAAAGCTAAAGTTTAAGGTTTTGGTGTAAAGGGTACTGAGATCGACCTAGCGCAATCTGGGGATTTAGAGTGTTACAACGGTATCCATCGTACTTCTCTTTCACTCAAAGCTTCTCATATATCTTTTGAAAAGCGAGCAAACTATATATTCTTCGAATGCGTCAGATTATGCAAGTAACTAACATAAATTTTTTTGTTATGGCTCAAGAAAGTGGGAAATTAGATAACAACGGAAAAATGGCATAAATGAAGTTGAAAGTACAAAGATTTGATTACAAGAAATAGAAACGAAAGATCTACCTAGGAAACAACAAAGAGTTCTTAACTAACTAGATCTCCTAAGATTGAAACAAGCAATGTCCCAATGCTTAAAACAAGTAGGAAACGAGAAGAGAAGCAAAATAAATCTATTCTTTCTCATTTTCACGTCCTCTTCCTCGTCCTCGTGCTCGTCCATGTGTACCCAGAGGATGGGGCATGGCTACATGGTAAACATAATCCTGAAAATCATTCACTCGTACAGTCAATACCACCATATCTTCAGTTAATCTCACAGCCCGACGCTCATTCTTTCATCGTATTCTTGCTTCTGAGTTTGCTTGGCCAACATAAGTTGCATCATCGGATTCTGGTTATTTTGCATAGCCTGCATTCTCTCATTTTGTTCCATTATGGAAGCCATAATGTCATCATTTAAGGCCAGTTATATTTCTCTTCTTCTCCTACGCCTAGCGGACGTGCTTGCCTTGTTTTCAGGAGGAGCTTGCTGTACAATGTCTCCTTGTTCCATTTTCTGCTCCATTTCATCCGCTTGGACATCCCCATGGTCACTTCTCACATTCTCTCTAGGTGCAGGAGCATCAAGGTCATAAAGTAACTTAGACAAATTTGTAACATTAGTAAGCGCAAAGTTTGGCAAAATGATACTTAGAACAACCTTGTTGTGCACCATTAGGTTCTATCTACCATCTCTTCTGACCTTAATCAAGTGGCCAGCCCGAAAGTTGTCAATGTCAATGAACGTGGGTGGTAGTGATGGAAATTTTGCAAGCTTGTCTTCGAGGTGAAGACCAAGTGCTATAGAGGTTACTATCCCTCCAATGTAGAAAGGTGTAGATCCTCGCACAAGGATTGAATATGTGAAAGGAGGAAGGTGCTTGCAATGATCTTTTGGTTCAGTTTGAAGGTAGAATGGAGGAGGAACAACTCTTTTAAATTAACTTTGTTGTTGTTCATTCTTCCAAAAATGGTATTGGAAACGACACGATGGAAGTACCTTATTGCGTGATTATGGATGGATGAGGCATAAAGTCCTTCCCAACTGTTTAGTTCTCGCATTGGCAAGAACTTTCCAAAGCTTGAAACTTGTATACGCCCAATCAAGGTCTTCTGAAATGCAGTGGTGTACCATCCCTTCGGTAGGAAAGTGGAAGAAGGAACTTAGAATGGATTGGCTTAAGGAATATTCAGTGATGAACATTCTAAAAGTGGCGGAGCCAAATAGGTGCTCGTTCTTATCACACGGAAAGTTGTATGAGAACAAGCTCAGAAATTCCAAGGTTAGCGACTCGTATGTTGGGAGGTTCTGTGTGTAGATAGACGTCAAATTGGAGTGATGGAGTAACCACTAGACGCTATCGAGAAAGACTAATTTTCGGAGGCCCTCTGTATCTACATACCGTGTCGGTACAACGGAGCGTTGATAGAGGTTGAGGTACTGAGCCCTTTGGTGCTCTCCGACTTATTCGTTACGAAATATAATACCGAAAAGATCAGGTTCAGGTCTGGAATTTCTTTGTGCCATTTTTTGAAGCAAGGAAAGGAGAAGGGTGATGGTTTATGAGAGAAATTGGGGATTTTGGAATGAAAAAGGGTTTGAAGATGATTTATGTAGGGAGATATAGTGGAGGTGATATGTGGGTTTTAATGGATTTTTATGGCAATGATAATGGGGAGAGATTTAGACAACGGTTCAATGTATTGTG